TGTTCATGAATAGGAGGATCCAATATTGTTAAGGTATCAGTTCTTCCCAACTTCACATATAGCGTCAACATAATTTCAATTAAAATTATACCTAGTTATTCCACGGCTATAGGTGAAATGATCTGAGAGTTTATACACAAAGACCTAAAATAGCCAAGAAAGCAACAAAGAAAACAAAGTTAAAGGACTAACATACTGAACTTTAAGACTTAAATCTACAGTAATCAAGAAACTGTGGCAATAGAACAGAACAGAACACCTATGAATAGATCCACTCAAATATAATTAACTGATTTTTGACAAAGGAGCAAAGACAAGACAACAGAGAGAAATGGTCATTTCTCCAGATCTAGGTTGCTGGAACATGTAAAAACCAAAAAAAAAAAATTGCTTTCCTCTCCAAATTTAGACAAAGTCCATGTACTTTTCACAAAAATTGACTCAAAATGGATCATAGATTGAAAGAAGTATGAGACTCTTTGAATATATAAAAAAAATAGGTGATCTTCGTTTTGACCTTTGCAATAAACATATCTGAAAAAGACTCTCTTTAAAATACCTGAGAACTCTTAAAATGCAACAAGAAATCAAACCACCCATTAAAACATTGACAAAATATCTGAATAAATACCTCACCAAAGAAGATAGGCAGATGGAATAAATATCGGACATGTCACCTAGGAAATGCAAATCAAAACAATGAGATAACATCATGTACCTATTAGAATGGCCAAAATTCTGGCTAGATCAACACAAAATAATATAGTCACTTTGGATTACATTCTGCAGGGTTTTTTAAAAAATAAAATTAAGCATGCTCTTACCATGTGATCCAGAAATTGTGCTACTTAGTATTTTCTCAAATGAGCTGAAAACTTATGCTCACACAAAATCTGCATGTCGAAGTTTGGAACTGTTTTTTTGATAAATGCCCAAACACAGAAAAATAAGTAAGAACTTCCTCTGGATGAATAAACAAACTAAAATATCCATACAATGGAATACTATTCAGTGATAGAAATGAGCTAATGAGCCAAGAAGACATGGAGGAATCTTAAATTCATATTGCTAAGTAAAGAAGACTCTATGAGCCGGGTGCCAGTGGCTCATGCCTGTAATCCTAGCTACCCAGGAGGCAGAGATCAGGAGGATTGCCATTTGAAGCCGGCCTGGGAAAACAGATCAAGCGACCCTATCTCGAAAAACCCTTCACAAAAACAGGGCTGGTGGAGTTGTTCAAGATAAAGGCCTTAAGCTCAAGTACCGCAAAAAAAAAAAAAAGAAAAGACGCCACTCTGAAAAGAGTACATACCGTATGATTCCAACTACATGACTCCAGAAAAGACAAAATATTAGAAACAGTAAAAAGATCAGTGGGTGCCAGGAGTTCAGAGAGGGAATACGGGATGACTAAGTGTAAAGGGAAGTGATATTATACTATGTGATCCTGTAACTATAGACACATATTCTCATAAATGTGTCAAAACCCATGAAAGTACAACACAATGAAAAAACCCTAATGCTATCTATGGTTTTTCAGTGATAATAACATACAAATATTAGATCATAAATTGCAACAAATGTACCAAATAATAAAATGCATTATTATTACCACATATGAATAGGGGAAACTGTGATTAGAGAGAAAAAAGATCAATGGAAACTCTGTATACATTCCATTAAATTTTTCTGTTAGTCCTACTGTTCTAAAAAATAAAACTATTAACTAAAAAGAATCAGGGAAAAATTCAGGGAGGTGGTTATCAATTTGGGGAAGACATGAGAGTAGCGAGATTAGCTCTTGGGTAGTGGGTTCAGAAATAATCATTTTATTGTCATGCCTTATAACTTGCACACCAAATAGATTCATTTTTCAACTATTGATTCAAATACAAAAATAAAGAAGTATATATTGAACATGTGTAGATCACTTCAATTAAGTTCTAATGAACTTTATAGAGCAAAAGATGTTTACTTTTAGTAAGGCATACATAAAAACCCATAAATAAATATCATGGGTACTATAGGTAGACAACATAACATAGCAGAAAGAACAATGGCTCTGGGATCAGATCTCTGTTTGAATTTAAATTCAGCTTTTTATACCTTTGTGAACTTGAGCAATCTCATCAATCTATTTTTGGTTTCACAAATGGAAATATGTACATTTTAAGCATTTCATAAGGAACAAAAATATGTATGCTACATATAAAATACACATATTAAATGCATGAAGTAAAAAAATGCATTCCCCTCATTTTATTGTAAAGATTGTAAAAGTGAGCACAGCAAAGAGTTTAAGGACAAAGACTAGAAGAATGAAACCCTAGCTCTCTTACTGGTTATAGTACCATTTCCACATGTCTCTAATTCTTCATTTGTAAAATAAAGATGATAAAGTCATACTTCATAGGGATGTTAGAATTAAATAAGTTAACTATTTTAAGTGTTCAGAACAGTGCTTAGTTTGAAGAATTAACTGAAGTATTTTTAAATCATTATTATAATTATCTCAAGCTGAACTCACTCAATTTTTATATTTACCTTACCACTTCTTAAAATTCTGCAGGTGAATTAATTCTTGCATAAATGTAATTCATTACACAAGAGCTTTTCTCATGTGTTTTCATATGTGAAAGGTTAAATACCAAAAAAGGAAAAATAAATCTCTCGTTTTATACATAAGGGTCTAAGTGAAACAAAAAAGGGTGACAAAAACCAATGAGTTACTGGATAATAAAATAATGTTGCTATTTAATTATTTGTCTTTTAATCTGATTAAGCCTAAATCCTTATTATAAAATGGGCTTACAACTTTTAAGCAAATTACAACTTATTGATAGACATTAAAAAAGGTAAGGAACGGTACAGGAATATATCAAATATATGAATAGCTTCATGTAAATGAATGATTGGAGATTGAAGTATAAATTGTTTTTCAGAATAAACTTTAAAACAACCTAAAGATTAAAAACACAAAAGAAGATAAAGTTAAGACTGCTTTAATGATATGGGTCTCAATGAAGCTAAATGATTGAACTTCATTCCCTACATTTCATTTGGGGCATATTCTACCTATTATTTACTATTGTCTTTGATACTTGTTAATTCATTTATAAAATGGAAATAATCTGTCTCTGGTTAATACACAAAGTTACTACAACGTCAAGTGTGACACACTATACACACCAGCATTTAGAAAACTGTCAATATTTACAGAAATATGACCATATTACTAGTTTATCACTGTATCTCTCTCTATATATACTACTAATCTGTTCAATGGAAGACATAAAGAATTCTAAAAAACTACAAAATACAAAGTCTAAAAGCATCAAATTTCACTTGTTCTAAAACACTGGTTATCCTCCCATAAGAAACATTTTCTATTTTTGGTTTTAATGCAGAAGAGCTTTTGTCAGGCAAAACCTTACACAGGGAAGGAATCTCAATTTATAAGCAAGTAAAAGAACTACTATCCTTTTTTCAACTCGTTTTTCGTAAGCCTTTTCCCTGCCCTAAGATTCCTAGGATATCCACTTTAAAAGCAAGGAAAACAGCTAGAAAACTAGGAATTTCGCTTATTTATATTCATCAGGATAAAATTCATCGCACCATTTTAGAAAATCTTCACAGGCATCTCAGTGAAGCCAAAAATGTGCTAAATATCTCTGTAACTAAGACACTTTGCTTCAGTTTACTGACCACAGTGCCCACTTTCCTCATTCTTAAAATGGAAGTAATACTACTGTACAAGTTATTGTGAGTGCTAAATGAAATTATGTGTGTGTCTGTGTATGCACTGCTATGTATTATGGGTAGAGCTAATGACCAGTGAGAAACATAAATGCTCAGGAAAAAGGATAAAACATCACAGCCTCCTGTAAGAATGAACAGGAATTGGTGAGTATACTAAGTACATGATACACATTGTACTGATCTGTAAAATTCAAAATAGCCAAGCTTATTTTGCCTTTATTTATAATAAATTAAACTATATTGAAGTCTTAGCAAGTTAATGATAAATATTTATTCAACATGTAAGTCAAAAATATTATTATGTTCTTGGTTAAAAAGTTAAAAAAAACCCTGTGCTAAATAATTAATTTAATAAATCTGATCACAAACACTAATTCAGTCATTTCAGGTATATGCACACCTCTGTGTTGGTGCAACATATAAAGAAAAATTTAAAATTATAATTAAAAATAACATCAGTTGAAATCTTTTATAAATGATGTGTTTAACATTTAACTGGACAGATAATTTGGGACATTTTCCAAAGTAACTCCTGGTTTTAAGTATATATCTGGCCTTTCTTAACTCATCTACAACTTTAGTAAAAATAAAATTAACATTCTGAAGTAAAAATATGGTACTGAATTACCACAGAAAGAAAAATTGGCAACACATTTTATAACAAATAAGGCAGACATACTTATATTGAAAAATAACTAGAATTTTTAAATAGTATAGTTGACTGAAATTTTCCTTCAATAGAATATTTTTAAAGTTTTGTAACAGGCAGCACTGATTAAAAACTTTGAGTATCTTCAAAAACATTTTCTCAGATTGCTGAAGAGCATTTTTTGACAGTGCTTAAATAAATGTAATAGTTTTACAGCTAGTCAATAAATATTAATTTATTCTGCTCTACTATTTTTAAGGAAGGAAATAATTTTGAATATTTTCTTACAAAATTAAGCTTAAATAAAAGCATTAAGGCAGCAATTAAGACTTGGTATCTCCTTGCGAGAGGAAGAAGATGAAAACACTTTTACAAAACAGTATGACAGTCTCTTACTAATTACCCTTTTGGAAGATACTGAGAACTATCAGAAATAAAGATATTTCTGTTAATTAATTAAAGACATTTTCTGCAATCATACAATTCTGTATTATAAAAGTTCACTATGCTTATACTTTGAGACTATATAATTTTATAAAATGTCACCATAAAAAGACTAGTACATACAGAAACTGAAATAACTAAAATTTACCAGAGTGTGTTTATGATTAATTGGTTGATATCTTCTCCCTTTTTTCCCATACCAGAGACGAGACATCTCCTTTCCAGGGCAAATTAAGTTACATCAAATCACGTAGGAGCTGTTTTCAAAAGCATTCTTTCTCTGTCAAAGATAAATTTCCAGCACCAGAGCCCTACTACAGTGACAAAACATTTTGCTAGAGACAAAGATTTGATTGACATGATAGAGAGCTAATCACTAAGTGGTAGCCATTGCAAAGATAGTCCTGAGTGGAGACTGTTAAGCTGGGGAGGGAAGAGAGGATTTCCCATGCTTAAGTTTGGTTGCACTGCACCCAAATGTGCAAAGAAAGGCTTCAAAAGTTTAAAGACACAGAGCATGTATTTCCAAACACAGCATACTAACAAATGTACTAAAAATATCTTGGTTACAAAAAACAGAAGCACGATTTCCAGATTCTCTCTCAAATTACACAAATGATTTCAGTTAACATTTTATTCATAAGTTCTTAAGTCATACAATTGTATTTTATTTATAGCTATGAATTATATACAATTTCATCCTTTATGTGACTATTTTCAACGGTAAGATGTCCATTTTAATCTACATTTTTTAGAATATAATTTATTGAAAGGGCACATATTTAATATGCTATATATGTTATACTTCACTAAGAATGGTATACTGAATATAATTAAATAAGTGAACTTATTTAATTTTTAAAATTTCCTTAAAGGGGGGAAGGAGAGCAGTGGAGGGGGTGAATTCAAATATGATATATCTGACACACTATAAGAACCTTTGTAAATGTAAATGTCACAATGTACCCCCATCCAGCACAATAAAGGAAAAAAAATTTCCTTGATAAGTGAATTTTTAAAAGATTAAATATAAACTATAAACTATAAATATTTGAACTATATGTAAACTAAAATTGTTTGGAGCTCAAGTTTAACTATGATGTCAATGTTGTAATATTCCTTCTATTTTGAGGTAAACCTGCCCCTCCCCTTTTAACCCACTGTTTGTATACACAAAAGCCTTATCTTTGCATACACACTACTTTTCTAAGTCTTACAATAGGCACCTATCTACACTTCCACAACTGCTTCTTCCACAGTTCAGCTGCACAGGGCACAACATACCTTACAGTGCATACTGTCCCTCCCCACATACCAGTCATCCTATTACTCTCAACCAACCTTACTACCTGAAGACCCTTCCCCAGTCCCTCACAGGCACACCACCACCATCTCTACCCAGTCCTTAGAACCCCTTAAACACACAGTGCGTTGTGCTCACATCCCATCCTCTCACCACAAACTCCCTATAAATACAACCAGCAGCAATAATAATTTGAGGGGTATGCCATTTAACAAACCTGTCAAAGCTGGCAGAGTGGCTCAAGTGGTAGAGAGCCTTGCCTCACAAGTGTGAGACCCTGAGTTCAAACCCCAGTAAGGCCAAACAGAAGAAAAAAAAAGAGAGAGAGAGAGAGAGAGAGACCTAAAAACTTGTCATAACTTCTAGCCAAATTTTTAAATGAAAAATGTAACTATGTGTCCCAAAATGAAGTATAACATATTAAAAATATATAAAATACCAAGCATAGCATAATCTAGTCTGCTGATCACCTAGTCAACACACAACTCTTAGAAATGTGGTCTCTGGTAGTGACTTTAGACAAAAAACTGCCTTCATTTTTTGCACAAAAATCAATTCTATGTGAATTTTGCTGATTAAGCTAAAAGATTAGGAATGTTTTTTGTTATTTGATATAATGACTCAATTTTAATTTTGGTATTAGATGTGTCTTAATAACAATAATAAACAACATGTTATTAGAGAGAACACTGAAATACTACCTGGCAGTTTAGGAAATAAGATAGTAATCAAACAACTGAAGCCCTTCAAATGGTGCTTCTTAGAAGTTGCAGCAAGAGGTTGTATTCTGTGGGGCACTTAATGAAATGGCCATGGGAACAACTCTACTCAATGACAAGTATGCAAAAGGAACTAAGTTCACAAGATAATCACACCTAGTAGTAAAAACCCGAACCTAATAATGACATAACACATTTTTTTTTCTTTTCTTTTTTTGGGTGGGGGGAGTACTGGGGCTTAAACTCAGGACCATGTACTTGTCAGGCTAGTGTGATACCACCTGAACCATGCCTCCAGCCATTTTTGTGTTAGATTACTTTTCACAAGTATCTCACTTTTTGTTGGGGCTGGCCTTGGAATTGTGGTTCTCATACCTATAACTAGCTACCTGGTTACCATACTCAGCTTGTTTGGTGAGGTGGGGGTCTTGCTAACGTATTGCCCAGGATATCCTTGAATCATGATCCTTTCTATCTCCACCTCTTAAGTAGCTGGGATTACAGGTGTGAGTCACTCTGCCCAGCAGGTGTAACAGATTTTTTGATATGAAATAACAAAGATTAGGTTAAGTACTTACATTTATAGAATTAAAATGGAGAGTACTAGAAATTGAAGTCAATCTGGGAAGACCAAATAAATATTTTTAAAAGCCATCAAAGCCAGCAGGCACATTCTAAAATGTTTTGAATAGAGGTTTATGAATAAATAGTCAACAAACTTACATTTATATTCAACTGAACTTCATGTGAATGGACTTACACAGTACACACTCTTTTTTTTGTCTGGTCTCTTTTATTTCATACATTATCTCTGAGATTCATCCATGCTGTTTTCTGTACCAGTAGATCTTTTTTTTTATATAGCTGTAGTATTTAGAATTTCATGAATATTCTAAAACGTATCCATCTATTCTCCTGCTTATGGGCATTTAGGTCATTTCCAGTTTGGAAATGATAACGAATAAAGCTGTTATGGAGACTAATAATGTTGGTTTAAGTACCAAAAGACCCCAAAATAAATGCATAATATATATTACTTTTTCCTCATTATATTGGCATTACAGTAGAAATGGGTGCTATATGTACTACACAGAATAAACTTAGACACATTCACACTCAGGATTACATTTTAAACAAGGACATGGCATGTACACATTCAATTAATGTACATGTTAATGCACACACAAAAATTCGTATCGCATAAACCACCACAAACTTCAATGAAATGGATAAAAAATTTGATGTCACTTATTATCACATTTTAGTATCTGCTCTATATTTTCTAATACATCAAAAAAGTGAATGCAGGCAACAACAACAAAAAAAGGTATTGTTGCCCTGTCAAGCCTTTAAGACAAAGCATATAAAAATGAGATAATGTAATCTTAAAATGTTTATCTACAAGGAGCTATAATAAGTTTATTAGTATTTTCTTGGGTATTTAAACAAGTCTATTAAATTTGAACACAAAATTTCCATTGCTTTAAAAAATGAACACAAGCTTACTTCCCTAACATTATTACTGCTAAATTCAAGTCAAGATAATGCTTATTAGGTCTAGAACACAGAAAGGACTGCTAATTTGCCTGGATGTATTAAATGACTGCTGTACCTCTTTCATGAAGGAGGTAAAATTAAAGTGAATCAAATTTGAACTAAGTATGTTTTGTGAAAATACAACAATATTGCATCCTTCTTTGCTATAATATTATACTGTCTTAAAGGAACTATTCTAAAGTACAAATGATAAGCCATTTTATTTCTGATGGGCTGCTTTTCTAGTATTTTAAAACAAAAGCAGAGTGACAAGTACTAAAGTTCCTACTCAGACTCACTCAGTAAACACGTATGTACACGGACTGTTAACCCGGATTTTCAAAAAACTACTTTTATGCAAAATCACTAGTAGTTTACACTACCATAAAATTACAAATTCACACAAACTAAAAAAAGAAAAGAAGAAAAAAGAAGTCTTCATATTTTTCTCCATACCTCCCATTCTCTGGCTGCTGCTTGACTGGTAGAATCTTCATTTGTTTCAGACTCCTCAATCTTTTTTACTACTATAAATCCAGATTCTCTGGTATATTCACCAGTATCTTCTGCATAGTTTTCTGGACTCCACTGAATGAAGAAGGCATACAAGTGGTTTGTCCTGTTAGAACAAGTGACTATTAGTAGATCTAGTATTATGTGCTAACAGCTAGAATTATAAAATTGTTAGTGAAATACCTTGATAAAACTCAACTGAAGATCTTTAAATATAGACAATATATGGCTTATATTAAAAAAAATAAAGCTCTCTATCAGAAAGACGTCCTGAAAAAACTACATTAAGATTTCCTTTGGTATTACTTCAGATGTTACATATAGTAATGCTTTTCCTCCTTAAAAAATACTAGTGCTAGGGAAAGGAAATTTAATCCACAACTTTGACCTCATTCACACAATGATCAAATAATTCAAATACAAGTAAATGACTATTAGTTACTTATTTTTGAAACATGGATATTCTATAGAATGTTCCCATGTTGGTAGAAATGCTATCCCAACTTCTAACTGATACTAGGGAAACATTTTGAATTTTTGGTTCAGGAACAGATGATCATAATCTGATTCCCCTTTCCACTATTTTTTAACTACGGTAAAACCAGTTGTTGTATCTCTGATAATCATTTAAATGTAAAACACACATTGTAAATACCTGTTTTATTGGCTTGAATAAGCATGAATAATTGAAGAAATTGATTATAAAACCCTCAGCTAATATGGAACAATCAATAATAATGGTTCTGGAAATTACATATCCAATTTAATGATTTAAAAAATTATCACTCATGTGATAGCCAATATTGAAAGGATGTTAAGTTTTATCTTTTAGATAATTTGTTACTTTAAGTAGCAATTTTTATAAGTTATATGTCTACTATAAAGTTCAGAATCTCCCTAATAGTATTTTGAAGTAAACATTAATCAGGGTGTAAGGACAATATTTAAAATGAAAATTTCATGAAAAATTAAAACTTAACTGAGAGTAATGACAAAAACTAAAGTTTTATATTAGTTTTAACTAAATTTTTTTATTATCATTTCAACATCACTAACAAATTTGATCATCTTGCTGTTTCAAGTATTTATGAACTATACAAATTATATCATATATTTTATTTACTATTAATAACATTTTGTTGGAGGTACACACATTGTTCTGAATTTGGGGAAAGAGGGAAAACTTTATCATTTATATCCTTGAAAGCGATAGGATTTAAACTAACACCTAAAGGCTTTCCAAGAGGTACACAGGTATTAAAGATACTTCTATGGGAATCAATTTCTACATTTTCAACTTCTGTTACTTCTTCACTCATAATAATCTAAGAACTGTAAGATATTTTGCAGATTCCCTGTTCTCTGCTTTCACTAAAGTGTGTTTTTTTAATTTGCAGAAGAACTGCATATTCTCATCTACTCATATTTTTACAGTGGCACATGCATTAAAGTATAAACAGTTCCAGCAGCCCCAAAACTGAAATTGTAAACAGCAAAAACAGTTCTTTCTTATACCAGGTTGTTTCTAATTCATTGATTTATACAGAACCGAAAGACTTTTCAATGGAGTTGTTCATGGATGACACTAAAACTAATTTTGATGAAAGATTATTAAGTAATTTTAGCACATATGTAGAAACATGTTTCTACATGTTTTCTGTATTACTGACTTTTACATAAACAAAGTTTCTCAGTACTCAATGCTGAATCATATTTTATTCTTTCAATGAACTACTGCTATTATTATGAGTGTGCTTTCTGCCAGGATGCAGTCTATGTTTAGGCAGGCTGTTAGTTTCCAAGTATGGTAAAACCTTAGATCCTTCACTGTTTTTATAACAGTTGTGGAAAGGTGAAAAATAAATATAATTTCAGTATACAACAGAAAGGCGTAAATTCATAAGTATATGTAGTTTGTTGCAAAGAATGAAAACAAGGATAAAAATAACTTACAAGATTTAATATAAGTCAGGTGCTGGTGGCTCACACCTGTAATCCTAGCTACTCAGGAGCCAGAGATCAGGAGGATCATAGTTCAAAGTCAGCCTGGGCAAATAGTTTAGACCCTATCTCAGAAAAAATACCCATCACAAAAAGGGCTGGTGGAGTGGCTTCAAAGTATAGGCCCTGAGTTCAAACTCCAGTACTGTCCCCCTCAAAAGATTCGATATGGAAATACAATGGAAAAAAACAACTTTAAAGCTCAATAATAATGATGGGATTTTAACTGTTAGAATACGTCTGAGTAGTTTTTAAGAAGATAATGAGAGGGAAAATTATTATGATGTTTAGCTTCTACAGTATATATAGTATTTAATAAGTCAATTTAACAGTTTTAACTCAAAAATGAAATTTTTATAATATAGTGACAACAGAAATTCTTTGCAACTGCTTAAACTTGTAACAAAAAAATTCTACTGGGCCCATGGTACACAAAAATAGCTTAAAGACAACCATATTCCTTTAGTAGCTAATTTAATGTCATGTACATAACAGGCATTCAATGTATTTGAGTAAATTTAAATAAAGAGATTACACATCATCTCTTGCCTTCAGGGAGGGGCCATAACCAGTTAATATTTTGATGAATCTTCATTAAGTACCTTCTTTTACTACTAAAACTTGGTAAGTGTTCACATTTTTAGCAAAAAACTACAAAGATGCAATTTAAAATGGGGTAAGTTAAAGATATAAAATAGAAGCTAACTATAGTTTCTCTTGATATCATACAAATCTTTCACCTTTCAAAATAGGAGCTAAATGATTTCAAACAACATTTAACGTTTGTATTTATTTATGTACTTTCTTACTTTTGGGACAGAACCTCACTATGCAGCCCAAGTTGGCCATGAACTCAACATCATCTTGCCTTAGTTTTCCTAGTGTTAGTATTACAGGCATATACAATTGTCCCTGCCTCACATTAACTTTTAATTGAAATTAAACATTTTAAAGTACTTTGACACTTGTATTGTGATATACAAAATAATTTTAACTCAAGGAATCTCAGTAATGTGTTCAATCTTTTATTTTTTTATAATTTTACCTTTCTTGTGGCACTGCAAACCAGTATTCATGTTTTTTATCTCTTTGTGCATACTGTTGCATTGTGGCACTTGCTTGGGATACAAATGTTTTTCTCATTGGCTTTCCAACTCTGAGACATAAGAACTTATGTAATCGATGCCTTCTCTTTTCCTTTAAAAGTACAGAACCTAGAAGTGAGATGTAATATTTACTCAATTTTTACGTATCATACTAAATAACTTAAATTATTTTAACTTCCAAATTCTAATTATAGAACAAAACCTCACATTACTTTACTCAGTGAATTCCCTGATGTAACCTGCATTTTTTTCCATGAAACAAAGCCATGGAAACAGTAAGACTAAAGAAAAAGAACTAAGTTAATGAACTGAAATTATGCCAAGGGATATTAGAAAAAATGCAAAAACTTCAGAAACATTTTAATTAAATTTCTGTTTGTATCAGCTATTCTTAATTATATATATAAATATTAAGAATTTCTGCATATTCTCTCAATCTTCAGAATGACATCTAAATAAGTTTATAAAATTTTTAAAGGCTTATTTTAACATGGTTACTACAGACAAAACCTAATGCAGTTTCTAAAGCATTTACATACATATGAAATTGTGATCAGTTTGAACAGTTAATTATGTCTGAATTATGCCTTACTCTTCCAACCAGAAATATTACTATAATGTATTCTGAGGCTATGGTTGAGTTCAGGAATCTAAACTTTAGTTTACTGAGGCAGTACAATATGGAGCAAAGTGTACTTATAAGAGATCTGCATACTAGTCATGGTGTTTTTCTGTGTAATATTGTGGTAAAGTACACAATTTGAACCCCAGCATTCACATCTGGTTTAAAGAAGGAATTTTTACAATTCTTCCAACAGTTGCATTCCAAATTTTTATAGTTATTACATGCTTTTATTATATTTAAAGACCAAAAACTTTTAGTATTTCCCTGCTATAGAGTATCAAGTTACTTAAAATTACTTAAAATAAATTTTCACTCTATAAAAACAGAAGAACCCAAATGACAAGCTTCTAAATACCTACCTAAAAACACCTACAAATTCATCTTCTTTCAGTATTTGTTTTTAATATTCTATTATTTTCCTACTCCCCACAACAACCCTACTAATATTAAAGTAAATTAAACTAAAGTATAGCAGAATCCATTATTTTATCCTTTTTAGAGGTTTCAAATAAACAAAAGATAACCATCAGACACAAAGATATTCAAGTAAGATATTCACACCAGCATAATTTACATCAAAGATGATGAAATAAATGTCAACTCTATGTATTATTAATAACAAATGAATACCTTAACAATATGGAAAAGGTTGAATACGTTATTAAGACCATTAAAAGTATGTTTGCAAAGAACTATAATGATGCTAAGAAAAAGTTTGACATAAACATTACATAAAAATGCTGAATACAGCACTATGTATGGAACAATCCTGATTTTATTTAAAAATAAATCTATGTATAGATAAATACAAATATTAAAATTATATAGATACACATGTGCATGCATTATTCATATAAATAATGTAAATATAGACATCCTTCAAAGATCTATAAGAAAGACAAATATAACAGCAACCATCTCTAGGTGATAAATTCTAACTAATTTTTTATTTATTCATAATTGTCTAGAAATTTCTTATATTTGTAAAATGTTTCTTAATAAATGCTCCTTATCTCAGAATAAAGAAAAAATTATTATAGAAGAAATAGTCAATCTTTTATAGAACTTTATTATATGTGTTCTTTGATACTTAATGAATACAGTCCTTTATATCTTCAGAGTAGCTAAACTAGTTTTTTCAAAGAAAATTCAGAACTTTAAAAATTAATCCATATCTGTCTGAAGTGCTGGTAGAAATGTAAAACTGTGCAGCCACTATGGAAAATAGGTAGTTTCTCAAAAATTAAATACAGAGTAACCATATGATCCAGAAATTCTACTTCTGGGTGTACACCTAAAAAAACTGAAAGAAGGGATTCATACAAGTTATTTGTACAAAAAAGTTCCCAGCAGTACTATTCACAATAGCTAAAATATAGTAGATACTACCCAAGTATCCAATAACAAGTAAACGGACAGCAAAATGTGGTATAGACATACATTGAGTGCTGAAGGCACTATATGTTAAGTAAAATAAGACACAAAAAGGATTTCACTTACATGAAGTACCTAGAGTAAAGGCAGAGATAAAGAATAAAATGGTGGTGGGCAAGAGCTATGGGAAGGTGAGAATGACAATTTACTGTTTACTAAGTACAGAGTTTCAGTTTGGAAAGATGGAAGAAGTTCTGGAGATGGATGCTGGTGATGGCTGCACAACAGTATGAATGCACCTAATAGCACTGAACTGTCAAGTTGAAAATGATTAAAATTTTAATTACCACATTTAAAAAGTAACCAAAATGGTATGCTTAATTTCATATATATTTTAGCATAATAAAAATCTTGAATTAAAAAATGAAGGAAAAGCTCATATGTAAAATAGATTAAGGTAGGATTAATACTCTAAAAGAAAATAACAAATGCTTACTAACTTACCAGAGCTACAGTCTGTTTAACCCATAAGCAGAATCATGTATATTGCAAATGAGACTATAATTCTCCTAAGTAGTACCAAAAAACAAAACTGAAAGAGTGGTGTTTTTTTCCTGAGCCCATGTTTTTAAAATAAAATATTAAGTTGGATGATGGTGGAACTTCTGGATACTTAGAAGCATTCTAGCAATATTTTATATTCAGTTGTACATACATTCTAATAAAAAGATGGGCTTACAACATTGACAATTTTAAATTGTAATTAAAATATATTTATGCAATAATAAAAAACATACTAAGAACTAAAACAGAAAATGGGAGCAATCAAAGGTATTACACAGTTTGGGTGTACTTTTAAGAAGCAAACTTTAAAGAGAATGCAGAGTCGAGAAAGTTTAAACATGGCAGAAAAGATGATGAGAAAAGACTGCATACATCACCATATGTACATGTTCCCAGATCAGACAAGGACCTTGCAATAGCTTTTGAGTCAGTGAGAAGAGGGAGATAATATGCAATAAGATGAACTAACTTCATCTACTTCTTAACACTTACCATCTATATGTCCATCAGCAGTTGCAATTTTATGCTTAATTTCTTTTTGTGACACCTGTTGAATATTGTCCCTTTGCTCTTTAGTTTGCTGCATACTATGAGTTTTCCACAGTTTGCGTAGCTCTTCTACTTCTGTCTCTGAGTCTTGTTTTTGCTCCTTTCCTTGTTTGCCTTTGTTAACAGTTTGCTTTTGTTTAAATTCTGTTGTTTCTCCACAAGGTATATTTTCTTCACTCTCCTGTTGGTGGATTGAATTTTCATGATGAAAAGAATCCTGTTCTGCATTACCTTTTGTACTTGTGCTTTGTTTTTTAGGGTCTGATACTTCTTGAAGGTTATCTGTAACGTGATCTCCTTCCTTACTGGCCATTTCAAGATTACCTAAATCAGTTTCATGAGCTAAAGCCCCACCTTCATTTGCTGAATGTCCAGTATTGGATTTTACGTGACCAGGAGTACTAGCAGACACTGATGTGCCTGTCCAGCATTCTACCTCAGTCTGATTGACAGTTTGCACAGATTCTGAAGATGCACCAGATGATTTATGTCGTCGCAGCTCATCTGAGGAGATAAGCTCCTCTCTGATAGGAGAGAGCTCTGATTCTGTGAACACATCTTCAGAAAGAGACTCCTCAGTGCTTCTTGGAGCAGTGCTGGCACTATCATTACCTGCATCACGGGTTCTGGAGTCTATTTCCTCAGTATTAATTCCTGTCATTTTCCTTGAATGGCAGAAGTCCCTTGTTGATAACTGATCTATTTCTCTGTCATTAAACAAAATTAAAAATTATTAGACTTTAAAAACCACAGTATTTTATTTTCCACAAGTAATTATGTCAAACTTTTGTAACAAATGCTTAATATTTGGGAAACACCAATGTAAGACTTGGAGATTATCTAGTTGAAGAAATCTGATGACATAAATTGTGAATGAAACTATAATTTTAAACTAAAATGTACTCATTGATGGAATATAGAAAATTCAGAAAAGTTTTCCATGAGAAATTTAAATCTCTTAATAAAGAATACACTGATTTATCACCCGTGTATTCACCATGCTTATTAAACTAAAATATATAGTTTGATGCAAGCCTAAAAACGAACCTGAATAGAACTGAGGCAAAAATATTTCAAGGGAATGTTTAAGATAACAAGTCTTAATAGCAGCTCTAAGAGAACTTGCTCAGAAAAAGAATTTAGATGTTAGATAAGTGAATGGTTCACAACTGGATCTAGATTTTCAACTTTAATGAAAAGTTGTTTAATTTTTAGGTAAGCTATAATATTCAAAAATGATAGTTTAAGTTCTGGAAAGAAGTAACATAAACATCAATCTCATGAAATATGTCAGTCATTTAGAATGATGGTTATAAGTACTGTGTGATAAATCAAATTCTTAGTGGAAAGAATTAATATTTATACACATACAGTAAAATGTAAAAATGAAAAGACTGGAAAGAGTAAGTAAACAAAGTGACTTTCTGTGGATGGTAAATCTAGATAGCTCTTTTTCTCTTATTTGACTTTCTTGTATTTTTCAAATTTTCTTTAATAAGAATGCATACATTTTATAACTATGATATAAAATTTATTCATTTAAAATATTTAATTAAAGTCTAGTTCATATGTCTGCCACCTTTGTATTGGATTCATTTTTAGGAAACAAGCATCTGTTATTTCATATACAATAGTGTCATCTACTGGTAACTCACTCAAATTACATTCATACTCAAAAGTTTGGAGAAATTGTATCTGTATAGTTAGTAGAATTATAAGACTCTTCGGTAAGAGATAAAGATAACAAACCTAACAGGATACATATTTAGGAAGTGCTATACCGTTCTTCAGAGTTAGAATGCTGAAAGGTTCACAATCAAGCTAATGATGCTGCTACACTTCCATATAATTCTAGATAGTACCTCTGGAATCAAATTTCTAAGCAGTATAAAAGGAAAACTGATCAAATCTTTTGCCTCACTTTTACTACAAATGATATAACTCTGGAAAACTACCTGCTTTATCTCAGTTGGCATCAGTATTGTTTTTAATTACTCTTGCCTCAATATTTAAGGATATGTCTTTTTGGAGTAATTAAAATACATTATCTTTCCAGGTAATACTCTAGATGATAAAATAACAATCTGAAAGGCAAGGAACACCAGAACAATTTTGTACAATCGTCAGATTGCTCAGAATGATAATCCCCAAGTATCATAGCACAAATGGAGAAGTAGGGCAACAGAACTCACCAAGTATTTTTATATACATATTATAACCTTCCTCTTTCTCCTTCAGTCTAATCTTTCACTCTTTGACCTGTGTCTCATCATTTTGCCTACCCTTAATAATCCTTTTGGATGATTATTTGTACATATAACTTACAGTGGAGGACAATGATAGCTTCTAGGAATTATCTGTTTCTAAACATTAGTCTACCAGGTGAAAATAGTATCTATTGTTTGGAAGATATAGTGGAGACTTTTCCAATAGGGGATTTTATCATAGGTATCCTAACCACTGATGCAATCTTGCTCAGAGACAAAAATAATTTGCTTCTTTCTCCTTTGTAAATTATCTTGCCCAAGGATTAGTTTTAACATAGCCAGAATCACCCCGGTCTGTTACAGGAATGTAAACAGTATCAATTAAAGTGAACTAAATGTTTAAACTGTTGCCAAACTCATGTGTGGAGGGGCAGGGATATTTTTTTCTATTACATATTCCTTTCCTCTGCAATTCTTCATTTCTTTGTTTACTACATTTTTTTAAATTTTATTTTTCATTCTTTCTTTTTCTCTTTGGTCACTAATTTGGTCAAGTATATCACTTTCAAAGGCTGTGCCTAACTTGTAGTCTCATAGCAATGTTACCACATCACACAAATTCCTGATCACTATATTGCAAGGTTAATTCTTTGTATTAGTATTTATACTAATTTATAGGTTAATTTATATAATTATAATTTACAGGTTTCCTCCCTCATATTTTATACTGTTCTAGGGGAGAAGAATGCAAACATGTAAATCAAATAAAAAATGAAGGTGCTCTAGCTATAGCAGTGTCAGGTCATTTCTCATAGGGCCTCTCCCAAATCTCACCTCACCCTTCAGGCACTTTTGTGGAAAATTTGAAAACTATTTTTGATAATGATTACTCATTAAGGCAAGTCAGAATTCTCAATGTTGGGAAACACTGAACTAAATGACAACTACAGGCTACTTTTCAAATATCTGATTCTCTGATGAAATATACAAATGAAAAGATAAAATAATTCCTAACCATTCTAGGTGCAATAAGAATAATCTTCAATAGTGCATGCATTTTGCTTTATTGTTCATTAAATGAAAAGTAGTTTTAATAAAACTAATAAAAATAAGAGGATTAGATGAGGGCCAACTATCTATCTACATGGAAAAAATGCAAAGGAACATAAATACCACTCTTACATGGGTAAGGATTCCTTTATTTTGCTATCCAAAACTTCTTTGTACATTGCAGCTGACATCACCTCTTCCATTGGACACATGATGCCATATTCCTCACAGCCATTCTCTTGAACCAAAGGGTCAGTTTTATGTGGATCAAACATTATATTATTTGGTGTAACTAGCAGCACACCACTGACTGTGCCCTAAGATGAGAAAAGAAAATAATATTTAATCTTCAAAGTTCATAATTTCAAAAAGGATTCTGGCTAATTTTACTAATTTTCTTACTATGTTAGGCCTTCTACTTTATTATATGTAGTATATTTAAGAACTATAGCATTCTCATGAAAACATGCCTTCCCAGTAAATTCTCTTCTTTACCAGGGGCCCAATGCAAGAATATCATACTCCACCTAAAACAATCAGATAAAGAATTAAAATTTACAAATTCAGTAAAATAATGTGTTATATCATGAAGAAAACTTCTGTAACGTAAGCCGGGATTGTAAAGTCCTTCATGAGACGATCAATGTTTTATTTAATTTACATACTGCTTTCTGTGTTTTTCCCTCACTACAGGTTTTACATAGTTTTTAGTGTAGACTCCATTGAGTTATACACTGCCCACTTTAAAGGAAAAAGAATATAAAAATTTCTATTTTGACTTTGTTTTCTGAATCTTTTATTTATGTATTTTTTCTCTTTGACTTACTTTTTTTTTTTTTAGGTATTGGGGTCAGGGCCTAATACTTGCTAGGCAGGTGAGTCATACCTCCAGCCCAAAGTTCTTTAAAATATTTTAAAAAATAATCACTGTTTTTCTTGATTCTGTTACTATCCAGCTATGTGACCTTGGGCAAGCAAAGCTATTGGGGTGATTTCATCCTCTATAAAGTTGGGTAAATTACATGACCTCTAAAGTATAAACGAAAGTAATTATTTTGAATTTCACCATGAAAAGGTATGAAATTTTAGACATGTTTACATGGTGATACAAATGTCAAGAGTCCACACTCTTTTTTATAAATTAAGGTTTATAGATGGTTGATCCCACTGATATTAATCATGAATATTAATATTTATTGAGTATTCATGTGTAACTTCATACACATTATTCACATGATATTCACAATCACAGCTCTGAGAGGAGTAAAATCATTTCTACTTCATAGATGGAAAAAAACCTAGGGCAGAGAGAGGCCAAGCAATTTGTCCTAAGCCACCAAACAGTACTCAAAATCTGGGTGGTCTGTCATAAACTATAGTCACTCTAAACCAAGTATGAAACATTCCTTGCTCCCATTTTTTAACTTTCATTCCACTATATTTTATAAGTATAAAAATGAAAAGTCAGACAGAATTCTAAAAATCCAAATAGTTACTTCAGTTATCTTGTCTATTTCCTGAAGTTACTATGGAAAGAAAAAGATAAGTTATACTTGATTTGGTATCACACCATTATTTCATGTCCACTTTCAGTTCTGTCAACTAACTTGGCATAACTTTAAGAGCTTAAAACTTCAGTTATGACAGACATTACCCTTTAAACATGACCAAGTAAAAAAAAATTTTAAAGACAATCCTACTGAATCTAAGAATAGGCAAAAAAAAGCTACTACAGATGAAGCATGTTTATCATTCTCAGTAAATGCATGTAATATTGGAGAAAAGAATATGTGTGTGTGTACATTTTAGTAAGGGAAAGGGAATCAATCTGAAACTCTGAGTGGCACTTCTGGTTCAGGCCATAGGCCATCTAAGTAAGGGTAACTTTATGTAAACCAAAGTCTACTTAACTTCTGATTAATATTTTAATCGGATTTATATATACTGATTTATATTCATGGGGCATATGCAAACTGAAATCAACGAGAAATAGTAAAGTATTGATAGGCAGCAGTTAGATATAGCGGTGGCCATAAGAGGAAAAAAGGAAAAATTATAATTCAGCTTCCCAACTCCATTAATCTCTATTTAAGATCAAGCAGCCAGAACCCAGGGGACATCACAGGATGCTTTGAAACTTAATTCACTCTTCACCCGAGAGTAATCCACACCCTCAACATTAAGACCGCAGAGCTAGACAAAGCAAAGGTTAGGAATTTCAAACAGAAATTCTCTATCAATTAGAGCAAGAACTCGTAGATTATTTAATGTCTTTCTTAACAAGACAATGATCCACATCCAGGAAATCATCCTAGGAGCCAAAATGACCCTCCCTATTTAAACGCCATCTCAGCCACTCAGACCCATTGCCTCTGATCATGTGTATTCCCCAGCTCTCCACTGTAAGACTAAGAGATGAGAATCACTATTTTTAGTTCTTATTCCCATTTCCTGTGTGGGGAGCAGGAAATGTCTCTCTTTCTCTACCCCTTGACCCCGTTTGCTCTCACTCTAGAGACAACCTGCTTTTAGTCTGTTGAAGCGTATTGCTTTTCTAATAAACTTTATTATTACTAAATCTTTGCATCTTGCTTGAGTTCTCCTGCAGGACGCAAGAACTGAACTAAGTTTCAAGGCCGTTTTTCCAGTAACAGTATATTATAGGGAACATGTACATAATCAGGAATAACCCAAGAAAAAGATAATCAAGACTAGAATATATACAACGTAAAATAACCTTAAAAGTTCCTTTTGTACCTTTTTCTCTCTTACCTTCTGTAAACTTATTTGAGAGATGAAAGCAATTAGCTAGAAAGCAATTCTGTGTTCTCTGACAGAGTTTAGGTCACTCTTGATTTTATAAGTTTTACCTAATATATAGGTATACTAATTTTAACCCATCATTTATTAGTGTAGTATACTTTTTATCTTTCATTTTAGAATACTTCCACAAAGATAATGCTAAATACCCCGAGTAAAAGGATCATTTGAATTCCAATGTAATCATGTTTTCAATTCTCTAAAAACATTAATACCACTGAAAAGCCTCTCAAAATTGTGCTTTTACTTTTTGAATTAAAAGGGACTTGGAGTCCTAATCACCAGACTAATCAATCTGCGATTACTTTCTAGGAATCCACCAGTATGTAGTATTACTAAAAGGAAGCACAGATGATTTTGAATTCTTCAAGCTTCTTTCCCCTCTGCTTCACAATCAAGGATTTCATATAGCTGGGACTTTCTGAGGCAATCTGTTACATATTATTTTTAATAAATCAAGAGTTGGCCATGAGAAACATTTCCTCAACATAAAAATTCATGAAAACTTCTTAAGTAACACCACAAATTCATTTGACTAAGATGAAGTCTAAAATCATAAATTCACACTAATGCATCTGCTTTTTGTAATTTTTAAATACTGTTACATAAGTGAGAATGATATATTTAAAGATAAATATAAATTATAAAGAAGGTAATAATTAATGAAAGTATCATAGCTGATAAATTCCAAAAGAGATAAATTAACATTCCAAAAATCTCAATGCAAAAGAAGGCAGAAAAAGACAGATGGAACAAATAAAAAACAAATGTCAAGATGATAAATTTAAAGCCCAATCATATCAAGAATCACACTGAAGGGCTCAAGGGGTACAGCACCTGCCTAGCAAGTGTGAAGGCCTGGGTTCAAATCTCAGTATTACCAAAATAAATAAATAAATAAATAAAAGAATCACACTAAATTAAAAGGCAGAGATTATATAGGGGAAACAAGATCCAACTACAGACTATGTACAAGAACCCCCCTTTAAAACACAGGCTAAAAGTAAAAAGTAGAAAAAGGTAAAACATGTTAACTTTTCTTGAAAGGAAGCAGAAGTATTTCTCATAGTACTCAACACAGCAAATTTCATAGCAAAGATTATCAAGAGGGTCTTTCATAATAATAAAATCAATTCTTAAGAATCCTAAACATTTCCCCACCTAATAACTATTTCAAAATGCATGAAATATAAACAGAACTGAAAGGAGAAAACAGATGAATCCACAATCCTGTGAGATATTTCTACATCCTTTGAAACAGATCAAAGGAGAAATCAAGAAAATAGAACTAAACGAAAATAAGCATAATCAAGATTTGGAGATTCAGCTAAAACAGGACTTGGGGAAATTTATAACAGAAAATGCTTGTATGTGAAATATAATTTGTGAATTATGACTTTAAAAGTACAGTCAGTATCATGTTGTAGTTATCTTCTGAGCAAAACCTGGTGTTTATTTTCTAATTCTGTGTTATTTTACAATTATTTCCCTCGTAAACTGGAAGTTTTTTGCTCAGAAAAGCAACCAGATATGGCAAATAAAACAGATTCAAACTAGGTTTGAATTCTGGCCTTAATAGAAAAATCGTGGACATATTAGCCTTTCATGCATTTTTTTTTACTGTGAAGAAAGAGTAGAAATACATTTCTGTAATCACATGATTATTTTAATTGTTAAATTAATATACCACAAATAGCATATAGTAGATATTCGAAAAATACTAGCTATCTCTTTCTTTTTATGTGTTATACTAGGTAGGTAAAAGCATATTAAACAGTACCCAGTAATGATCCTTTTTATATACTTTGTGAAATATTCCAGTAACAGCAAATTAGCTGTCCCTTATTGTATTAAATTTATTTATACCCTATTGCCTTTAATAATTGAAACATAACGCCAGATTCTGACGGATGAGCAAGGTCCATACAACTCAGATAGTTATCACCAATACCTTAACAGAATATTTAGGATTTACTGATGTTGACAACTTTAAACATGAATGCCAAATTGTCGTATTTTAGTAATAAATAAGGCCTGATTCAAAGTTTTTTCTAAAGCAGCACTCATTACCTTGCCATTGGTGATATATTTACAATTAATTTTAAGAAATTTCTCAGTAAATGCTTCTTCTTCCTCAGAAGTTGAATATACAACTCTTGCAGGTCGAATACCAGTAAAAGTAGACAAGGGAGTTGCTTCTTTTGGGTGGACTACATCAGGATTCTAAAAAAGAAAAGTACTTTAGAAAAACAGACAAAATAAACAAAACCAAATGACTAGCTTTTCCCAAAGCACTGCTTCTTCTTACCACATTTTGGAGGTCATGCCCCCAAATTATAACAATAATGGTGTTTTCATGGTGAGTGATGATCTCAAATAAATTTTACTTACAATGATTTTAATAGGCAGATTTATACATGTATTCTATACAATACACAAAAATACATAATCATCTGGAAGGCATTTTTTTTATTATTATTCATATGTGCATATAAGGCTTGGGTCATTTCTCTCCCCTGCCCCCACCCCCTCCCTTACCTCCCACTCCTCCCTCTTCCCCCTACCCTCTCAATACCCAGCAGAAACTATTTTGCCCTTATTTCTAATTTTGTTGTAGAGAGAGTATAAGCCATAATAGGAAGGAACAAGGGTTTTTGCTTGTTGAGATAAGGATAGCTATACAGGGAGTTGACTCACATTAATTTCCTGTGCCTGTGTGTTACCTTCTAGGTTAATTCTTTTTGATCTCACCTTTTCTCTAGTTCCTGGTCCCCTTTTCCTATTGGCCTCAGTTGCTTTAAGGTATCTGCTTTAGTTTCTCTGCATTAAGGGCAACAAATGCTAGCTAATTTTTTAGGTGTCTTACCTATCCTCACCCCTCCCTTGTGTGCTCTGCTTTTATCATGTGCTCAAAGTCCAATCCCTTGTTGTGTTTGCCCTTGATCTAATGTCCACATATGAGGGAGAACATACGATTTTTGGTCTTTTGGGCCAGGCTAACCTCACTCAGAATGATGTTCTCCAATTCCATCCATTTACCAGCGAATGATAACATTTCGTTCTTCTTCATGGCTGCATAAAATTCCATTGTGTATAGATACCACATTTTCTTAATCCATTCGTCAGTGGGGCATCTTGGCTGTTTCCATAACTTGGCTATTGTGAATAGTGCCGCAATAAACATGGGTGTGCAGGTGCCTCTGGAGTAACAGTCTTTTGGGTATATCCCCAAGAGTGGTATTGCTGGATCAAATGGTAGATCAATGTCTAGCTTTTTAAGTAGCCTCCAAATTTTTTTCCAGAGTGGTTGTACTAGTTTACATTCCCACCAACAGTGTAAGAGGGTTCCTTTTTCCCCGCATCCTCGTCAACACCTGTTGTTGTGGTGTTGCTATGATGGCTATTCTAACAGGGGTGAGGTGGAATCTTAGTGTGGTTTTAATTTGCATTTCCTTTATTGCTAGAGATGGTGAGCATTTTTTCATGTGTTTTTTGGCCATTTGAATTTCTTCTTTTGAGAAAGTTCTGTTTAGTTCATTGCCCATTTCTTTATTGGTTCATTAGTTTTGGGAGAATTTAGTTTTTTAAGTTCCCTATATATTCTGGTTATCAGTCCTTTGTCTGATGTGTAGCTGGCAAATATTTTCTCCCACTCTGTGGGTGTTCTCTTCAGTTTAGAGACCATTTCTTTTGATGAACAGAAGCTTTTTAGTTTTATGAGGTCCCATTTATCTATGCTATCTCTTAGTTGCTGTGCTGCTGGGGTTTTGTTGAGAAAGTTCTTACCTATACCTACTAACTCCAGAGTATTTCCTACTCTTTCCTGTATCAACTTTAGAGTTTGTGGTCTGATATTAAGATCCTTGATCCATTTTGAGTTAATCTTGGTATAGGGTGATATACATGGATCTAGTTTCAGTTTTTTGCAGACTGCTAACCAGTTTTCCCAGCAGTTTTTGTTGAAGAGGCTGCTATTTCTCCATCGTATATTTTTAGCTCCTTTGTCAAAGATAAGTTGCTTATAGTTGTGTGGCTTCATATCTGGGTCCTCTATTCTGTTCCACTGGTCTTCATGTCTGTTTTTGTGCCAGTACCATGCTGTTTTTATTGTTATTGCTTTGTAATATAGTTTGAAGTCAGGTATTGTGATACCTCCTGCATTGTTCTTTTGACTGAGTATTGCCTTGGCTATTCGTGGCCTCTTGTGTTTCCATATAAATTTAACAGTAGATTTTTCAATCTCTTTAATGAATGTCATTGGAATTTTGATGGGAATTGCATTAAACATGTAGATTACTTTGGGAGTATCGACATTTTTACTATGTTGATTCTACCAATCCATGAGCATGGGAGATCTCTCCACTTTCTATAGTCTTCCTCAATCTCTTTCTTCAGAAGTGTATAGTTTTCCTTGTAGAGGTCTTTCACATCTTTTGTTAGGTTTACACCTAGGTATTTGATTTTTTTTGAGGCTATTGTAAATGGAATTGTTTTCATACATTCTTTTTCAGTTTGCTCATTGTTAGTGTATAGAAATGCTAATGATTTTTCTATGTTGATTTTATATCCTGCTACCTTGCTATAGCTATTGATGATGTCTAGAAGCTTCTGAGTAGAGTTTTTTGGGTCTTTAAGGTATAGGATCATGTCGTCTGCAAATAGGGATATTTTGACAGTTTCTTTACCTATTTGTATTCCTTTTATTCCTTCTTCTTGCCTAATTGCTCTGGCTAGGAATTCCAGTACTATGTTGAATAGGAGTGGAGATAGTGGGCATCCTTGTCTGGTTCCTGACTTTAGAAGGAATGGTTTCAGTTTTTCTCCGTTAAGTATAATGCTGGCTGTAGATTTGCCATATATAGCTTTTATAATGTTGAGGTACTTTCCTTCTATTCCTAGTTTTCTTAGAGCTTTTATCATGAAATGGTGTTGGATCTCATCAAAGGCTTTTTCTGCATCTATTGAGATGATCAAGTGGTTTTTGTCTTTGCTTCTGTTACTGTGGTTTATTATATTTATTGATTTTTGTATGTTGAACCACCCCTGCATCCCTGGAATGAAGCCTACTTGGTCATGGTGAATAATCTTTTTGATGTGTTGTTGAATTCAGTTTGCCATTATTTTGTTGAGGATTTTTGTGTCAATGTTCATTAAGGAGATTGGCCTATAGTTCTCCTTTTTGGAGGTGTCTTTGCCTGGTTTTGGGATAAGTGTAATACTGGCTTCATAAAATGTGTTAGGCAGTTTTCCTTCCCTTTCTATTTCGTGGAACAGTTTAAAGAGGGTTGGTATCAGTTCTTCTTTAAAGGTCTGATAGAATTCAGCAGAGAATCCATCAGGTCCTGGACTTTTCTTTTTGGGGAGACTCTTGATTTCTGCTTCAATTTCATTTTGTGTTATAGATTTATTCAGGTGATTAATTTCCTCTTGGTTCAGTTTTGGATGATCATATGTTTCTAGAAATCTGTCCATTTCTTTAAGATTTTCAAATTTATTTGAATATACGTTCTCAAAGTACTCTCTGATGATTTCCTGGACTTCTGGAAGGCATTAAAACCTGTATTATTTGTACCTCTACAATTCCCCTCCAATATGCCTGCTCAGATTCTAGTGAACTAAACCACTGGCTTTGATAAGACCAGATAACATTCATCAGGTGTCAGGAGGAGAGAAAAGATGAAAAGCTTGTCTATGGTTCCTAGCTAGGTTTGTGGCAAATCCATTCATTTGGAGAGTGTTTTACATTTAGGCTACAGAGAGTTTATCAATACCATTCTACAAAGTATTAAGCATCTCTCATAGTTAAGCTTTTTCATTGCTATGGACTATTCTCACAGAGCAGCCCATGCACTCAACGTTAAAAAACATGTACTGAATCCACTGTCAAAACAATTAAAAACAAACTGGAAACATTCCCTATTAATACATTAAACAACAAGATGTAATGGTGACTCAGATAAATATAACGTTGAATATATATAATTGTTGCCTAATGGTAGTAAACATTTTGTGGTATCTACAACTTTAAAGTAACTGAAAATATCTTGTGAGTTTTTCTGTGGAAAAAGTCACAGGTATACCTAGTATTACTTTACAGTTTGCTGTTTATATATTTAAAAAATTTTAGTCTGCAATACATTTTTTATATTCAAGTTCACAGACCACTTTAAATGTTATCCACAATTTCCCCCTGTAAAGGTTCAATATTTCACATATTGTATGAAGACTAGACAAATGCCTTTTAACCTTTGCTTTAAATACCTCAGCAAGGGCATTTCATACCTTATGAATAAATGCATACTATATTGTAGAACAGTTTTCACAGAGGCAAGATTCTTTTGAGCTTTTAATTAAAATCTGTACTTTGTAATTCTACCTAATAAACAAAACTGCCTCGTCTTCAATTTCATAGACTGAGATATTTGAAAAGAGATATCAAACTTAGGGATAACTTTTTCCGATGTAATAAGTCAATCTAACTCCTTCAATCCATATGTGGGCAGAATTATTGGACTTCCTTTCATATACCTCTCCTAAAACATAGGGCTAAATTCCTAGTGCTGGGAAAGATATTCAACACATACTTATTGAAAGAAAGACGGTGTAGTGTAAAACACCATAAAACAACTATATTTAATGTATTATAATCCTGTTTTTAAGAGACCTAAAATAGAATTATATTTTAAGCATTATGACACTCTACAATCATACCTAGTAACAAAATTCTCCTTAATTTTTTCATTTTCTGGTACAAAATAGTAACTTTATATTCATCTTGCTGTCTTTATTGGTTACTATAAGTATTTTGTATCACATATAAATTCATTCAGCACAACTAATAAGTGATATAATAATTTGAGAAATTTATGAAGTTCTGCTATATCTAAATATGGTATATTAATGATTTCATTTAATTTTTAATGCAGTCATATGAAGTATACACAATGACCTTAGCTCAATTCCATAACTTGCCAAATGAGGAAGACAAATCTGAGATGCAAGCCCAAATTACCAACACATGAACTGATCAAAATAATTGCAATAGTACACTGCCCCTTTTAAATATTTGCCAAATGATGGATAAAAGTGGCAAGAAAAAAAAATCTGATGCAGAGCCATCAGAAGGTGTAATGTGGCAAAAAGCTATCCATAAATTCTACTTAGGACTGTTCAATTACTCCCCAATATGAGTTTTATTATCTACTATGAATATCATCTACTAT